CCAAAACTCAAGAAAATGTCCCACCCAACTCTTGGACACACCCGGCACACTCCAAGGTGTCCGACACGCAAAACGAGAAAAGACAAAAATACTCTAAAAAATCAGAAAAATCCCAGAAAATGAAAAATGATAAAAATCCGAAACATTACAATAACACCCTTTTTAAACCATATTATGAGATGTATTACATTAATGTATCATGTAATATAACTAATGAAAGATAAAATAAGATAAAAACTAAGCCCTTCATGTATCTTTGAAAATATATGCAATCTTTTTTTATCGAAAGATGCCCTGTGATCGTGACACCTTGTTAGGAGTGTTGATTGAGAACACCATCTTGATGACATTTGCTGGAATGTCACTAGCTTTTTGCAAGGATTGCTGTGTTAAGTTTTTAGGTGTTAATACTTTCCTTTTCTGATAGTATGATGCACACTCACGTTCTAGTTGGGACTAGAACCCCTTTACCTCTCCTTTTGATTGTGGCAGGACATACCACTCAAGCTAATAACTGGTTGTAAGTTTCTTTGTTAGCACATTTCCAAGTTTTATGACAAACCAGAGACTGAATTGCTCAAGCTTGTCTTTTCAATTGGTTTGTTCAATCTTATTCACAAAGTCTAAGTAAGTTGTTTAGCTTAATTTCAACCAAATGATTAACATGCCAGTATTGAGCAACACCAAGCTTGATTTCCCCGAGCCACTGAAAATAGGAGACAGTTGTTCTTAGCTGCCATTATGTGTTCCATAGAGAGACTTGCCAAGAAGTCTTCTTTAATAAAAGCTATATAGAATTGTTAGGGTAGAAAAAACCAATGAGTAGGTTAAGTAGGTTAAGCAAGTTTGTGGTGCATGGCAATCTAAACTTGAAGCATCTGCTGTGGTGCTGCCATTCACCAATCTTGGCCAAAATATTATTTTGGCATGCATTTGATCAAATTTCTAAATCCATTGAAATATTATGGGGATCCTTATTTAAATTAAGATATGGATAAGTTACATGGAACTGATTATTATGTTTCAGCAGCTTTGTTCTAAGGTCTAAGATTTTTTTTTTTCCTTAGTTGGTAATCACACACCCATGCCTCCATTGAAGTTTGAACCCCTCACCTTCCTTTGAGAAGTAGGAGCTTAGTACCGCTGGGCCACCGGCCCGTTGGTTAAGGTCTAAGATTAGTCAATGCCCCAAAATAGGAAAGTGAGTCTGTAACGACCCTAAACTAAAACCATTTATACAAAAATTTTGGCATGACCTCCCTTAAAAGTGTCCTTCAACAACCTTTCCCAATACACAAAACAAAAAAATATACTCCAGCATCCCATTCATTATACCTCAACATAGTTCCTCTCATGGTAGAACATGCACACACCAATTAATCCAAATTATCATAATTACAGTCCCAAAATACATGGTTAAGATCTAAAGTCCATGTCTTACAACGTTACATGATATAATTACATGGAAATATATACCATGATTTCATTAGTTTCATTTACATTAAACAAAAGATAAGTTCGTTCTTAAATTACAAGGTCATGAATACTAACTTAGTTACATTTCCACAACTATGAATATACATAGAATGGTCAAAATACAAAATAGCAAACAACCTTCTAACAACTTTCAAGCTTGCGGAGGATTGTCATCCGCCGTTTCTTTGCCATGACCTAAAAAAAATAATAAGTATGTAGGGTGAGCTATATGCTCAGTAGGTGACACTTAAGACACGCATCTTGTGTCCCTGTGAATCCAAACATAGAATAGGTCAATGGGTATGGGGATCATACAATATCGGGATAATACAACATTCCAACCAAACTCAAGTACAAACAATGCAATGCCATGAAATGCGAATGCATGCCGATGTCGCTCCTCGTTTTCACATTTAAAATCCATCACTTTCAAACTGTTAATATAACCCGCCCTTTGGTGACCCCGCAGCAACACGAGAGGAAGATTAGCTAGTGTCACTAACCCTTGGTACCCCCGCGGCGTCATTATGGGGCCCAGCTAGCTCAACCACGCTAGGGCGACTCCCTAGTCCCCTCTAGGCTATATTAACACTCCGGCCCTTTGGTACCCCCGCGGTGACCGGGTTTTCCAAAAACACTTTCATCAAAATACTTTTCCCCAAAACTCCCTATTTTCATTTCAAAAACAATCTTCCCAATCATGTCTCATGGTATGCATGTACATCATGTTCTTAATGCCATGGAAGTGAAGGCTTTCACATTATACAATTGTACATACATTACAAGTACTCTAGGGAAATTACACATGCCATCCCATATCATTCTAGCAAGTTCTACAACAATATAAGCATGGTAAATCAATTTATCAGACAAGGAAATTAGTTAAATAAACATGTTTTCATACAACTCAAGTAACACATTTAATCATAACCTCACATGTAACACTTACATCATATTTAATACAATTAATTCAAAAATAAGCATGCTTTTCAACAATTTAGGAGGTATAATTCACAAAAGAGTAAGAACATCATGAGTTAATGGTCTCTACCTCAAGATTGCACAAAACCCTTAAAATGGGTCTCTAAATTCGAAGACCAAGGAGAGACCGAAAGCTGAAATTGATGGTACAACCGCGTAGACCTCGTCGTGCTCTTCGAAGAGCCGCAAACGGCTTCCAAGTATTCCAATTGATGAGAAGAAACCAAGCTTGTAAATGATGGTAAAAGAAAAGAAAAAGGGAACTGAGAGGATAAAGCAAGAGAACGTAATTGAGAAGAGAGAAAATGAGTCTTATATGTGAATTAAGTCATTTGTAATGACTTTGGTACAGGTGGGTCCCACTGTCATATAAAAATATCTCATTTGCTCCCCACTATGTTGGCTGCCATCTCCTCATGATCAGATAAGAGATATATATATATATATATCATATGTATTTATAAAATTTAACTAAACCAAATCCCATTAATATTTTTTTTGTGGGTCCCGCGGCAACACATTACCAATCTCTCTTATTCATCTTCACTCAATTCCCACGGCTGGCACTTGGTAGCAAGCTTCTCAGCTCCATTTGATATCATATATATATATATATATATATAACAAAACTAAATTATCCCATTAAACATCACAAGTGGGTAAAATCTGCAACCACAATTAGATAATTAATTATGGTAACCAAAAATATAATGAAATGAATTAAAATCTTAGAAAATTGGGTTGTCACAGAGTCAGCTGGGAATTCATAGTGAACTAAAATTATGTTTTCATCCTTGTATAACATAGCTGCTGGCCATTTTATTTAGTGTTCGGCATGTTAAACATTTTCTTTTCTGACATTGGTATTTTAAGCATTTTATAATGTCCATTGATTGTAGACATTCATTATTAAGTTTATGAATAGGTCATGCTCAGGTTCATGAACAGGCTAGAGCTTTGGTTGACCAAGCTTAGACAAGTTTAAATGGCTCTAGTTGAGCTTTGGTTGACCAAGCTTAGACAAGTTTAAATGGTGTTAGTTGAGCTTGGGACAAGTCTGAGCAGTTCAACCAAGCCAAATTTGAACACATCCTCTACCACCCTTGCTAGTGAACTAGAAATACAATATTCAACTTACTTTGTATTATTTTAGGCAGTTTTCCATTATTATTCTATATGTTTCATGATGAATTGTATGTTCTCTCTTTTCAATCAATATAAATCACCGTCAGTCTCTTTTCTGTCATTGGATAGGCCATGGACTGGAATCTATATGAGACAGAAATGCCATAATTCTAGAACTCATACATGCTGCCTGGCACAGCAGCCTGAAACCATGAACTTATAATAACAAAGGCAGAGGGAAATGTTGGAGATTGACACTGGTACAAGGTTTTTGCAATTTGCAGTGATGTTATTTGTTCTAATGAGCAAAGAAGTTTTATACAAGGGTTCCCATGTTTTGCGGGTTTAGTTTGGCTCCAAACTTTCCTGTATTAATGATGATTCTTTTTTCTTGTTGTTAATGTCACTTGATCTCCAACCCACACAAGATTTTTGCAGATTCGTTTCCTTTGGTTGGTCGCTATATGTTGAAGGGTTGAATGTGTTAATGTTGTGGTGACCAGATGGACTCAAACCCATCGAACTTGAGAACTTTCAGAAGTCAAAATTTTTGTTGCAGTGAAACAATAAAATTCTGAGGGCAGATATGCAGTAAATTTCATGAAAGATATCTGAGCTCTTCAAGCTTGTGAAAAACACCCTTTATTAAAAATCCTAAAATGGACATATTCAATAGGATTCATAAAGAATAAGTTTGGTGGAGGTACGGTTTGTAATTTAGTCCTGGATTGTGGATAATTATCTATGAATGCATAAGCAGTATTGGAGAGTGGTTTCAGACCATTGTGGGAAGAAAGTTTTAATAGTAATTTTATATTCTTTTCTTATGTACTTTTTGTTTATGTTATTGATTTTGCTTCTTCGTTACGGTTAGAGTGCTCCTGTCATTAGGTAGCTTCGGCTGCTCTGAGATTCATGTTACTTCTGATAAGAAAATGCACTTTGGCTTTTCCTGTATGAAGTTAGTAAACCTAAAGATCATATTTTCACTTGTCGAAGGAAAGCGATTAACTGAATGGGCATCAAACTACCATCAATATGTCCCAGGCTTGCAAAGATCAAACACTTTTTTCCTGCTTAAGAAATCGGTGATAACTCTGTTTGGTTAAAATTTCTGTTATTGTCATGAAATTTCAGGTGGTTGCATGGAAATGCTTCTTCCAAATTGATCTTTCAATATTACCAGTTAGCTTTGTGGTCAACAAAAAAATATATTTGGAAGTTTCTACCAGTTTTTGTTTTGTTCATCTTTTTCTTCGTGTTTCCAATTTTTGTTTTCTTGGTGAGTATGATTCTTCTTCAATGTCAAGAGTCAAGGTTTTAAATGTGTTTTCTTCCATCAAGATCTTTTGAGAAGAGAAACATCTTCACATATTGATTCTTTCCTGATTGGATATTTGCATATGTTCATCTGATAGGCCCACATAAGATACAAGGAATTGGTGCTGGCTTCATCCCTGCTGTATTGGATGTCAACATTCTTGATGAAGTTGTTCAAGTAGGCCTCAAAATTTTATTATCATGAATTTAGTTTGAGGATTTTTTTAGACGATTCACATTGTCGCCTTCTGCTTCTCCTTGACTTTGTTGCATTTTCTAGTAGTACCATTGAACTGCTTCTTTATGAAAAAGTATTCTTATCATGGTTGTTGAGCAAAATTAACCTTTGTAGCATTTTGTTTATAGTTCTCATAAAAGCACACAGATAGTGGATGTTCCTTAAATTCATGCTGTTATATAGGCAATAAATGGATTAAATTTAGACCAGTTATTTGGTGTTTTAAATTGATCTTGTAAGAACTTCTGATTTGGTAATATGACTGGCAAACATAAATATTATTTCAATTAGTATGTTTAAAAAAAGAAATTTCCCACCAAATAATTGTCCACTCTAAGATAATTTACATAAAACAAAAGTTTGGTAATAATTGAATTTTATGAAATTATACTTGTCGTATCCAAATTTGACATCTATCATCAAACTAAAATTGATATAACCAAACAACCAAAAGAAGAACCAATGAATTTCAAAATATTTTCAGCCTTGAATATTGTGAATCTAGTGGCTAATGTTAAGTTAGTAACCATACACAGTATTTGTTTTTTTTTGTGTGTATTATATTAAATTAATTTTAGTCATGGGTTTTGTCCCTTTTTTGCAATATCTTCTTGTGTATCCTTTGCTTATTAAAATAACTAATCATATTAACTGGTATTACACTATTCTAGGATCCCCTTAAATCCGAGGTCACTCTTTTAATTAACATAGTTAAATGGACTTTGGTACTCATCAGATTTAGGGGATTATACCACTCTTACCAAATCCGAAGTATGGGAATTGGATTAAAATTGAATTTAAATCCAAACTGTTGATATGTGCCCGCCCACTTACTTCCTGATATGGCAATATCTATTATGTGAATTCCAGCAACTTTAAACTTGGATTTCCTAACCATCAAAAGGCTGCGGACTAGTGTTATTTCCTCTACCTTTCTAAATTAGAAAGTTGAGGGTTCAAGTGATGTGTGAGTTATTTGCCCAAACAAAAGAAACAAAGAACTGGATTTCCTTTTACTCAATTGCAATGTTTTTGTAAATATTCAGGTATCGAGGGAAGAAGCCTTGGACACTTCTAAGCTTCTCGCTTTGAAAGAAGGTTTACTGGTATGTTTTCAGTTAGTTAAGATCTCTTATAATGGTCTCACATGTATTTCTGACACTCCTTTCTCTTACTTATCAAAGACCCCAAATTCCTAGTTGTACATACTACGTTGTTTCTGTCATCAACATTTCCTATGTTTTGTCATGTTTGTGGTGAGATTATTTGCAGGTAGGGATTTCTTCTGGGGCTGCAGCTGCTGCTGCAATAAAGATTGCCAAGAGACCAGAAAATTCTGGGAAACTCATTGTTGTAAGTTAAATTTCTTTAATCCAACTTATATATATATATATATATATATATATATATATATATATATATATCTTAAATAGTCATTATGGGTTGATTTTGTTAAGTTACTCCCATCAGAAATCTTTTTGTGATGATTCAAATAATTCTTAATTTACATGCCATGTGTACTGCTTTTTCTAGGTTTCTTGTTTTCCTTATTGCATCATCTGTTGCCATTAAGAATTGTAGGCATGGAGGATTTTTTTTTTTATCTTTCAAATATTGACCACTGATGAAAAGAGTTGCTTTAAAGTGTATCCTCAAGTTTCCATACAGTAAAGAGTGTTCTAATTTGGTGAATCCTAACTAAATATGGTTTTAGTTAGTTGATGTTAGTGTTAGGCTTATACTTGTGGTTAGAAATTGGATAGACCGCACGTTAGTCTGATTAAAAGCAGCATGAGGACACTAAAGTTGGGTCCTTTTGTTATCAGTTGATGAATAGGGGAGGGAAGAGGAGATACCGGCTGTTAGAACTGTGAACTAAAATTGTTCAGAGTACTACATTTTCATTAAATGTTGCCAAATATATGTACACACACACACACACACATATACACAAATATTTGTAATCTAAATTAGATCAGGTTTTCATGCTCCAAAAACTTGTCAACCCTTTGTGCGTTATCAACGTGATTTTTTGCTAACCTATGGTGTTTGGTACTACCTTTAGTATAAACTGTATGAACTTGATTTGTTTTTTAGGTTTTTTTTCTTCTAGAACAAGTGAACAACCCAATGGAATATGGAACTCATATTTGTTATGTACAGGTTATTTTCCCAAGCTTTGGAGAGCGTTATTTATCCACTGTGTTGTTTGATTCCTTGAGGCATGAGGCTGAAAACATGAGTTTTGAGTAAGTTGTTAGTGTTACCCAGCCGCCTAAAGAAGCATGACTCATCCTGTCTGCTACTTTTTGTATTGCAGTTTGTGTTGGACCTTTAACCAATTGATTGCTTTGAACAATGTTTGATTTGTAAAGATTCAAAATAATAGTTAATGTGATCTCTTTTTTCTTGAAATAACTCAACTGGAACTGACAACATTTACAGTCTATTATTGACAAAATACATTTTATTGTTCCTAACTTTATTATTTAATGGCATAAGAATTAGGGATATTTTTGTTATTTGCTTACAAAAATTAAAGACAAAAAAGTGAAGTACGTCTTCCTAATAAAAAAACAAAAACATATGTGAAAAGTCAGACTGGTAGCTGCATTGTCGCTTTTGATGGGCAGAGGTGCTTTTGATGGGCAGAGGTGCTGACATGCCCATGTGAATGTGAATGCATCCTCCAATTTTCTCACATTGTCCGTCTCTTTCCCACATTAGATAAATTGAGAGAAAAATTTTGGTACGCTGCGTAACCGGTGTATTCGGATCATTTGTGTAACGCACGTGCTCGTACATATATTACACGCGCAGTAATGAATAGTCAGATGCGCCTATTGCACGGTGCCATAAGCACATGCGGACCATCCGTGTAGTATAATTGCGGTAATAAACAATCGGATATGCCGGTTGCATCTTGCTTTAGTTTGACTCTTATCAATAAGAATTCTAAAAATGTATTGTTATACAATTTTGTTCATTTATTTACCTTCCTCGTCTTATATAAATAGTACATCTTTTTATTTTTGGTTGACCCATAATATTTGTCCCATTTAAAAAAACAATGCATTATTTTTTATAACATTCTCAATTTATGCTAAAAGAAAAAATAAATTAAAGTTTCAATTCTCAAAATGGGTAGACCTCATCAAAGGGTAAATTTGAAAATAAATCTACTGTCAATGTAATAAAATATAATAAAATCTAATGTCTTAAAAAGTGTGAATTTTAAAACTAGACATGTATAATGATACAAAGGTACTATTTTTAACTTTTTTTTCAATATCTCAATAGTGGCATATATATATTTTAGGAGTTGTCTCCACTTTTTCTTCCATCCACTCTTCATTGAGCGCGAATCCCCTGCTGTTTCTAACCCTGCAGTCCCCAGCAATTCAGTGCCTAATGCCGTGAAATGACCCAAATCCATTGGATCCGGATCATTAGATGGGTCCTTACCCGACCTAAAATTATCCAAGGGTAAAATGGTCCTTTCACGTTAAATTTGTATATTAAAGTCCAATAAGGACAAGATGGTCATTTATCACAATCCTAATGGTCTGATACTCAAAGGGCAAAATAGTCATTTATTTGTATCACATAATAAATAAGATAAAGTCTGGGGCAATATAGTCATTCCCATGACTAAAATATAATTATTGTATTTTACTGGATCTTATAATGTGTAACAAAACACTTGAGTGAGTGGTCAAGGGTAAAATAGAAAAATAAGTCACAAATGTTTACTATATAGAAACCGATCGATGTATGGGGAGTCACACGTCAACTGGTTTGGGACGTGTACAGTGGAAAAGCCCACTCCCAGGATACCAGTCGACATATGGAAGGCTACCTGTCAACTTGGTTCAAGACTTGTACAGTGAATATGCTCACTACCACGATACCGGTCGACGTGTGGGAAATTCATGTCGACCGGTTCAGGTCATCTAGTCAACGTATGGGATTTTACGTTGGGTTATCCTCACCCAAAGTGCCACTGTCTACACCAACTTTGATGCCCAACCACCCACACCACTACACTCACGTACATGTTTAAATACATTTCAACACCTAATACAATAACAACAATACATTGTTACCATAATTTACCATACGTTACTTAAAATACACTAAAGGATTTAGTGTGATTAAAACCTAATTACATTTCCCCAATGGCCATACACCAAAATGAATCTAAATACATCTCATGTTGCAAAATAATACATTTTGAGTCAACATTATACAAAATTAAGCCTAGATACAAAAAAAATAGCAATAAGAGACATTTTCCTACTCCAAGCTAAGGCCAGGGTGGATTGTCGTCCGCTATTTCTTTTCCATATCCTGAAAAATGTTAAATAATAAAGGGGTGAGCATAAGCTCAGTAGGATATGTCTAAGACACACTTCTTATGACCCCGTGAGTCCACATATAGAATAGGAAATAAGAGAACGGGATCATATTACACCGGGAATGTATACTATAACCACAACATCCGATATAAACACATATACCACCCAAGTCACAATTATGCCATGCATGCCAATGAAGTGCAATGCCATGCTCATGTCGCTCCTAATTTTTTCGAAACATTTCCATTTCAACTTCCAAACCGTTAGTGTAATCCGACCCAAGGCACCTCCAAGGCGTCGCATCCGGCTTAGTCAGCTCAACCTTACTCCCTTCTAGACTACACTAACAACACGGACCACTAGGCGCCTCCTAGGCGTCCGATTTTCGCAACACTTTTTAAAAACAATTTCCCCAAAATCCTTTCTCTTGCTTTTAAAACATTTCCCCCTTTTTCCTTTCCCAATGGATGCATGAATGCCTCATGCTTCTAATTGTTAATCCCACTATAGAACATCACACATGCTTGCAAGTTAAATTTCTAAAAGAAGTAACTCATACTTTCATTCAACATTAATTTAGCATATTAATCTTATAAAGAGAATTTCCATTTCACAAATGCATGCTATTACACCAATTGATAACTAGCATATAACCCCATATCTCCTATGTACAACACATAAGTAACTTGTAAGAATTCAAGCTAGTTAGGTATACAAGATACAATTTTCATTACACATAGGCATGCTCATACACATTATATCAACTTTCACATACACTCACCTTCCAAACATAATATTTAAACAATTTGCAAGAATCTAAATTAATTAAGCATGCAATTAAAGAATTAACTCACAATAAGCATGCAATTAAAGAATTAACTCACAAGAAGCATAAGAAATCATGTATTAGAACACCCCTACCTCAAATGAGAGAAAAGCCTCAATTTTTGCCCAATTCCTAGCCCTAATTCGAAATCCAAAGGTGCACCAAAACCTCTTTTGCTCCGATCAAATCGAATGTCTCGACGCGCTCTTCAATTTGCCGAAACGGCATCAAAAATCTCTCAAAGATGAGAGGGAAATCAAGCTTCAATTGTGTGGAATAAAAAAAGAAAAAGAAGAAGTTAAGAGAAGAGAGATATTTCGTGAGGGAGGGAGAGAGTGAGAGAAATGGATGCTTGGTATGGCCTTTAGGCCATTAAAATGAAAAAAAGTGGGCCCCGTTTAAAAAAAATCCTTTTAAATCTTTAATTTCCCACCACACATCTATATAACTACACATATACACACAAACCATATAACAACTACATAAAACACAATAAATAAAAATGGGTGAGATGTAAATGGACCCAAATGAAACCCCCATATGCAACAATTCTGACAGCGAGTCCCACACGGGACTATACGGCTCGAAAAATGAAAGAATGTCAAAATAGCAACCCTTGCATTCCCAAGAGTTCTAAACTCAAAGAAATACCCCATCAACTCTCGGACACACCCGACACACTCCAATGTGTCCAGCACGCAAAACGAGGAAAGACGAAAATACCCTAAAAAAAATCAGAAAATACCGAAAAATGGAAAATGACAAAAATTGGAAACATTACATGGCACAAGAAAAAAAAAGTCAACAAACGGCAAAGTAAACTTAACGTGCCAACTGTAAAGCAAAAAAAAAAAATACGAAAAAGGAAAGTTGAAATAAGTTGAAAAATTTGGCGCACCTGCCCCCGCTTCTGTACTTTCACTTTCCTTTTCTTCCCTTTTGGTTTTGTTATTTCCCTCCTTCCCTTTTCGTTTTATTCATTATTTCTTTTTAATTTTTTTAATCCAAACCCTAATTCGTCTCTCCTTGTTCCATAAAAAAACATGTTGCTTTTGAATTCCTTTTTTATTTAAAACCTTAATTCCTCCCTCCTTTATTTTTACTTTTTTCATTTCCTTTTTTGAATCAAAACTAAGTGATTTCATTCCAGAAATTGGTGATTTCTTCAATAAGATTCTCCTCTTCATCTACAGGAAAGAAATCTACAATGAACCTGAGCTGGTATCTACAACTGACCTAATTAACGATGGTTGGTAAGTCTTAATACATGTTATTAATATTGTGCATTTAATAGTATTGTTCATTATTTGTTCGAAATACAGTGAAATTTTTGTTTTGAACTGAACATTGTAAATTTAGAACTTAATTTATGATTATTTCATTTCTCATCTGTCATTGTAGTGAATCTAAAATCTTTCATAATTGATTTTTTGAACTGACTTGGCTTCATTAGGTACCAATGTGTTATCCAAAAATTTTGATATTAAATGTATGCAGCAATTACACATTTCACAGGTTATTATTTGATATTTATGAGAAAATAAACATTGCGAAGTTTCATAAATTAGAACACAGATGACCTTCACCATTAAAACAAGGTATTGACACAGTGCTAACTAACTTATGTCACACATAAATGTAAGAATTTATGATTATTTCATTTGTCATCTATTAGTGTAAATATTTTTTTAGTTGAAACTGACATTGGTTAAACATTTTAGTGAATCTTAAATCTTAGATAATTGTAGGGTTTTCTTCTATAATCTTCAATAAGCATTGTAGTGAATCTAAAATATTCCATAATTGATTTTTTAAATTGAGTTGGCTTCATTAGGTACCAATGTGGTATCCAAAAATTTTGGTATTAAATGTATGCGGCAATTACACATTTCACAGGTTATTATTTGATATTTATGAGAAAATAAACATTGTGAAGTTTAATAAATTGGCACACGGATCACCTCCACCATTAAAACAAGGTATTCACACAGTGCTAACTAACTTATGTCACACATAAATAAAAGAATTTATAATTATTTCATTTGTCATTTGTCAGTGTAAATTATGATAGTTTTTAGTTAAAATTGACATTGGTTAAGCATTCTAATATATCTGAAATCTTAAATAATTGTAGGTTTTCTTCTATAATCTTCAATAAATATTATAGTGAATCTAAAATCTTCGATAATTGATTTTTTGAACTAAGTTGCCTTCATTAGGTACCAATGTGTTAT